AAACAGATCTTATCGAAATTTTATTATTATAATACCAGTTGAATAATGATCAAATAGCATGGAAAAATAGAGTGAAAGTCGCTCTATCTGTTCATAAAAAAAAAGAAATTGTTTTAAAGCTTTCTATAAGAAAATAAAGTACCTCCGTCACTACTTTTGGATTGCCATAAGTAGTATACGAAAGGGTTACAATAGATTCTGAGAGAACAACACTAAGATTAAGAAATTAATTCCAAAACTTAACAATTTTTTTTTCTGGTATAATCTATTTTGTTGAATACAGTGGAAGAACTATAGAGGAATTGTATGCAATCGAGATCATTCTCACAAACGCGGTTGAGCTAGTCTCAGACATCATCCTTAAAATTTATGCTATAAGGAGAAAATCCTCTCTCGAGTTTTATAGTTTGTAAAATTAATTGATTGCGTCTAAGTTCAGTTTCTCGATTTGTTTTGTATCTACTATAGAATGAATTTCAAAATTTCACTTTTTTCTAAATGGTCAGCTGAAGCAATTTGAAAGGATGAAGTAGATAAAATGGCAATCTTCGATTCTTACTCTTTATAAAGAGCAAAAATACGAAAAATCCTTGTTGACTTAAGTTTCGATGTTTATTATAGCATTCAATCAGTCAATTTTTTTGTAAAATAAAAGGGTATAATTTATTGTAGATTTGAGTGTGGTCTGGATCCGAGTGTAGAAAAGATCCTTGCCAACACATACACGGACGCCTAAATTTTCTTTCTTATGATGAGTAGGTAAGAGTTGAATCTGTTAATATAGAGATTTTATTTGATACTATGAACTTGAACTATTGTCACTGGCAAATATCAATCCATATTGAGGTATTTTAATAATTCAAACTTGTTAAGTAGTGTAAAGCAATACACAAACCTTCGTTTTTTTTTTGTATAAATATACGTAAGCAGAAAAAAATGAACGAACAAAGAAGATATTAAATGTAGATGAGACTGAAGCATTGGGCATAAGCAGACCAAGAGAGAGCACAAATGAAAGTAGGATTTTAACCATGTAGTGGTTATGTTAAAAGCAAAAAATAACATCTTTACGATCTATGAAACAAACAAAGATCCATTCAGTCAAGCAGGAACTCTTTTAGGGTTATCTTAGCCTCATTAAGTGTTACTCATAGTCAAAATATGGGATCATACGGCATCTGACAGTTGGGAATATTCCCTCGTTAGGATAATACAGCTGTGAACACTGAAATTCTGTCCAAACTGATACAGTTTTAGAAGGTCCTTGGAAAAAAAGTTGTCATAGTCAACATTTTTGACCTCGTACTTCGAACGACACTTGCTGAAGCAAAAATCGATTCGTGATGGAAGAATAGTTTCTTTTTGTGAGTCCTAACATAAAGACACGCTGCGATCAACACTTGCTCTATAATTTTATTTCAGCTTGAATTGTTGAAAAATTGATTAAGTAGAAGATAATAATGCAGTTCCGATTGATGGAATCTATTGATCTCAGACTTTATGGTTATTTAATAGTAAACGGGTACAATAATCTACCAAAATTTCTAAACATTTATTCTAGTTGAAGGTGAAAACGATGAATTCTAAAATCATTTTAGAATTTCGGAGATCATTTTGACAAATCTTGATAGAAATACTTTTTACTGATTATGACATTATTTTAGGCGTTACAATAAATTTAATAGCATTAAAAGATAGTAATATTGTCAAGTGTCGACAAGCAATATATAACTATATGCATAAATCGAAACTTACAACGATAGAGATCGGCAATGCCTTTAATGTTGATATTTGGAATCAATACTTAATCAACATTTTTTATAAATATTGTCTTGATAAATTTGTTTTACCGAAAATAATTCTCAACAATAGACGTTTAACATTAATTGGTTCAATATCTGCTGTTAATGAAATGAACCAAAGATATGAATTAATAGAGAATATTGTAAAACAAAAGAGTCTAATACCAGTGTCAAATCTTAAAAAAGTTAATCCCGATAAATTTCGGTTAACATCTAAGATACAAATATTAGGCAATATATGGGATTCATTTAATATTATCATAAGTTGTTCTATTAATGATAAAACGTTATCACATTCGCTTGCCGATCGTCTAATTGATGAAGGTTATTTAGTATATATCGATCGTTATGGTCAACAGAGTTCTGTAATCCAGTCGAAATTTAAAAATTCAGATTTAATACTTGTTCTTTTTAGTCAAAATTATTCAACAGATGGAAATTATTTATCAGAGTTAAGATATGCACAAGCAATTGGAAAACAAATTCTTCCAGTTTTTATAACAAAAAATGTTTTAGAAGAAGATTGGCTTCAATATGTTACTACCAAAGAATTATATTATGAATTGTTTAAAGAAGAAGTTAAATTCGAATTAGATGAGAATTTTGATTTAAAATACGATCAATTATTAATTGAATTGGTAAGTTTACAAAAGATATCTAAAAGGTTAGATTATGATTGAGCATTTTATTGTATTTGAAAGCAGGTTACAGAAGTGAAAACCTATATTGTTTTAATCACTTAGAAAAATATACTATCGACTCTTGCAGAGAAGAATATATTAATCTTGAAAAGTGCAAATAAAGTCTCAAAAAATTCATAACAAGATAAATACTTAAGGCAATATATTATTCATGTCTTAAAAGAAGACTAATGAATGTTTCAGAATTTGAACAACAACAATATGAAGAGCATTTTGGATATCGTTTTCTTTTGAGTATAAGCACACATTTCAGTATACTTTGGATCTGTTGATGTGCACATAAAAATGATTTCTCCTTTAAATGAATAATAGTGTCAAACAAAAAATCATGGAGGTTAATAAAAGTTGGAAGCGCTTTCTCAACTCGGGACACTAATTTTCAGTATAATAATTTAAGTTTTCTATCCAAAATTTATTATTTAATAGTATCTAATTAAATTTAATTTACCGAGATTTTTCAATTATTTCTTATAGCTCCATTATACAAAGCCTGGTGTAGTTGGTCATATATATTCAGTATTAGAAAATATTTTTAACGAAGATCAACAACAACACTCATCCCAAGGACAAAATCCATCATTACAATTAACTACTGAGCAAATAGAACAACGGAGAAAAATTTATGAAGAAAAAGTGGAAAAATTAATTGAACGAGAGAACATTCCAACTGATCTTGTAGAAAGGCTTATTGAAGTTGCAAAAGCGGTTATAGAAGATTGTAAGAATGGTGATTTTCGTAATGATGAAAATGAATCCCGGCAAAGTGATGAATATGAGTCCCGACAAAATGGCAAAGGTAGACTATTCCATTCCATTGATCCACAAATTTTGGATAGGTTAAAATTTGATGTTTATTTTTTTAACGAGAAAATGCAAAAAAAAAGATAATTCAAAAGTTTCAATCCTTCTCTGTATATTGATGTTATCTACACGAACACACATATAGATAATCGACTGAAATACATAATTTTGTAGATCGAGATAAAAGATATCATATGAAAAGACAATAGTTCGAATTCTATCGAGATGATAAAAAGTTAATGATTATTTTATTAAGCATGACTGAACATTTTACATGTTATATTTGTTGGCAAAAACAAAAAATATTCTTGTAATTTGGCAGTGATTAAAGTCGAATGAAATATTTATTTCTACATAATTCGATAGTGTTTTACTAGCATATGAATAGCAAAAAGTTGATTCTATTCTCAATATAAAACTTGGATGAAACCGAATAGACGAATAAAAATCTCTTATATCTTGTATGAGATATCATGCTTAACTTTTAATAAATTTGAGTTGATCAACTAATTAGTATTAATCGATGTATCAAGATGCAGTGTCACATACTGAAGCTGAAGATATAACTTCTCCGAGTTGTATCAAAAGATAGAATAATTGATCAGTTAAAGTCATAGAAAGTTCAGTTTACTCTCTATAATACAGAATACATAAAATTTTTATTAGTCTTTCTGCTTTTCCCCAAGTTTTGTATTGGAAACAAGATCGGATTTTTTAATACTCATATTTTTGTATAGCTTGTCGAACTCTATCAAAGCATATTACAGTATCTTGAAAATCATATTTTCCTTCAGACGCTACAAGCATATTTTGTTTTTGCATAAAAATGCAAAATGTAAAATGTATAGATATGATCAAGAAAGCAATTATAGTATTTTGCTTTAATCTTTCTCGACATGAACTGTATAAGAGTCAACTATCTATATATGTATTCATATAGAAAACGTCACTTTACAGAGAGAGGTTGAAACTTTTCCATTACCCTTTATAAACAAAACTGATGTTCCGAGATTAATAAAACAAAAACAAAATGCGCAAAATTAAAGTTGTATATAAAATTTTTAGATGATTGGCTTCTAATCTTGAGGTTCTTACATATACATTCACATCGAATATATACATATTTATGGAACATTCTTTTTGCGATTTTTAGAAAACACATATAAACTTAATGATTATACTATCACTTTTCTATCATGTATCGAACGCTGGATAGAAAAAGCTTCGAATGGAAGTGTCATAATAAGCAATATACCACCATTTACTTTAACTGGAGATTTTAATGATGCTATATTTCCAATGATATACAAAGATAAAGAAGCATGGTGGACAATAAATAACTACGCACCTTTAAATCATACAATAGAGGACGATAGTTGGGACTACTTATCATCTATTATTGGTTCATGGTGTACTCAACGTGAAGCGTCTTATTATCTTCAAAAACTAATTGATCGAGATTTTCAATTACGAGAAAGTAGACAAGCTAAACTTCCAAAATCAGTTCAACGTATTATAAAAGTGAATAATGGATTAGATATGAAACTTTTCAAAGCTATTAGTTATACAAATTTTACAACAGAAATTAAAAAAGGTACAACTGGTTGGAATATTACACAAGACAGTTTAATACTGCAAGACTACAGAGTAAAACAACAGAAAAAAACAACGGAAGAATCAAAGGAAGAACCAACACTTTGGGATCGTGTAATAGAACAAACTGTAGAATTAATAAGAAATATTAATGAAAATAAAATTACTCCAAATTCGAATATTTTACAAGGAAAAATTGGAAATGAATTGAAAACGAAAAAAGAAAGACAAAAACAAAATGATCTTGATAATCCAAATAATAAACGTTGGAAAACTAAACATCGGTCTCCACGTCGAGAAGATTTTATTCAACAGAAAATACAAAATATAATTGAATTCGAGAAACTTTGTAATACATCACCAAGACAATCAGTAAATCAAACTAACTAATCTATCATTAAATATACAAACTTTTTTTCGCCATTACACTTTAATGAATTTGGATAATTTTATAAGGTAATAAAAAGAAAATCAAATCTTGTTTTTTGTTTTTGTTTATAAACAATCTATCCCAACGAGTTAAATACTAAAATCTTCCATAAAAATTTTATTTTCAAACATTGTCAAATGATTACATCCTCGAATATGACTGTATTCTCAGAATCTACATCAAAATGATGTACTCACGAGGAGAAACGACAAATTTCCAAAGTTTAGGAGGGCAAAAAAAACTATAGATGACAATTCAATAAGTATCCTTACTAGATAAAAGGCATCGAAAGGTCAATCATTCGTATCCATATTTCCCAACAAATAGAGCTGTCGTACCGTGATGATAAGCATCAATTTTTACTCTATATAAACCTTCACCAGAAAAGTTGGAAGACAAATATAAAGTTTTCGTTAGGCAGTACTGTTTCAACCATCGAAGTAATTTTTCGATTTTTCTGATTATAGCTCATACACAAGCAGGAAAAAGCAAATCCCTGATACGATAGAGATATCAAGAGTACATTGGGATACACTGGAGAAGGTACGACATGATACAATTAATCTACTGACGATTCAGTTCTGATTCGGCATGCACCAAACTTGAAATGAAATCCAAACTGTTTAGGAGTTTGGATTTGATCCAATGAGTTTTGGTTTGAGTCTTCTCCTAGTCGCATTGTTTTATCTTTGAATCTTCGTTTCTTTTTAATGCCTGCTTATTACTTATGAACATTTGAAAAAGAGAACTGTGAGTTAATATCATTTCTTTGAAATTAGCAAACATATGGCTTAAGTATGTACCGAAACCGAGACTCTCGTACCTAGCAACACGTTACCATATTTGACTTCATCGTTTTCAATAAAACTTGACTCGATGGTAATCAAGAATATAGCATCCGAATTCGAACTCGTTCTCTCAATTTGTCAATTCTTGGCTGATAATTTTCTAGGTTTAATCATTACACACATATGTACAGAAAATTTTCTTAATTGTTTCCTACTGAACCGAAGAATCTTATCGTATGATGATGACATTTGTAAGGTCTTGTTGAATGAATATGAATGTGGTTATGGATATATGTGGGTCTACTATTCACCCAAACTCTCATGATACGTAGCGGAGATTTTTTTTTACGGAGAATGCGTCAATCGATTGATTTCTTCTTAGCTTAAATCCCTGTTGTTACTTCGTGAATATCATCTTCGAACGACTCACATAAATATTAAAAACATTGTGTTTCAGTGCTGGAAGCTGTGACATTAAAATATAGATAAAAATCAGAAGGCAAATAGAATCGAGCTAGTTGTAAACGACAATACTGTAAGTTTAATTACGGAATCAATTCAGTGACTTATTCAGAAATTAGTTTTGATATCTTTTTAACATGTAGTGTCGAGTAAAATTCGATCATAATTTAAGAAAGAAAAGTTTGAATTTCGATCAAGGTCTGAAATTTCTTGGACTGAAATTCATATAACAGCTTAGAAAGCCAGCGTCTCATTAATGTCAGCATTAAAACTTTTTGATTTTCCATGCTTTAAATGCGTATCATGTTTCTAAACAGAATGTGAAAATTTCAGTAAAACAAACAATGCCTGCTTATAACAAAAAAATCTAACTTTATACGCATAACAAGTGATGCCTAAATCTGGATGTTCATGAGAGTGAATGTAATATGCCTACCCAGACTCAGATCTACATCCATATTCATCAGTGTCACTCACGATGCAGCGCTAGATTTGTAGAGAACATTACAAAACAACTTGAATATGTACAGAATTTCAGTGTCCACAAATGTAACATCTTGAGACTGAATAAATTCCATGGATTAGTAGTAATAGTTCTAGTTTAATACAGTCACAGCAGTAATATTGGGAAATTTTTTGTTTGAATGTCATTGTGGCAGTAGTAACTTTTCTTATATATAGTTCATTTCGGCACGATGTCTTGTAGTGGACATCTCTGATCGTACTTAAAAGCTATTGTAATACAAATGCATCTGTGTCAAATAATGTACTTTAGATAAAAAAAAAAAGAATACATCTTTCTTTATATTTAAATGAATATAATACTTAAACGACCATTAGCTATAATTCATCAACTTCAAAGAAAGCACTCAGTTTTAACAATTGAAAATGTCAAAGAAATACTTCATGAAATTGTTTTATTTTTAAATACGACTGATAATCGAGCAAATGGATTACATGAATTAGTTACAATTTGCAATGAATTCGCATCGGTACATATGTTTATACCATTTGATAATTTAGAAATCATAAAACATGAATTTTTCATTATTCTTGGACGTACATTTGAAATGTTATTATTAAAAGCAAGATTAATCTCTATGACAAAAGATGATGAACAATATTTATATGACTTAAGTTATTTTATAGTTAATTTATGTTTACATAAAAATGCAGCATCATCAAATTTTTTTACTGATAATAATGAAAAATTGAATCCTGCTAACGAAGACAAATTTTATTCTATGTCATATCAAAAAATCTTTTTAACAAAATCATTTTTTGAAAAATTTATTAAAATTATTACAGATGATTTAATTATTAATGATTATCAACCATTTCATGTTAAATATAAAGTTATTCATCGTTTACTTCATCTTTGTATTGAATTAAATGGAATTGATCATAATTTACTAATTGATCCAATTATTCAATGTTTAAATTCAAATTTTTATTTTGATGCTTTTAAAACAATTGATCTTCGTCAATCAACTTTTAATCCTAAACAATTATTTTTTATTTGTGAATGTGAAGAATTTATTATTCAACGTTGCTTGAAACGACAAGATGAAATATCTAATATCTTATGTCCACCAATGTTGGAATATAGTCGAGATATTCTTAAACAACATATGCCAATTTCATTAGAAGGAGAAGATTTAGAAAACATTGTGTGCATAAGAGGTGCCAAAATACAAGCAATTAGTTTACATATTAAATTATTAAATCATTTTGCTTTGACACCAACAACAAGAAAATATTTCATCACAGGTACATGAAGAACTTTATTTAAATTTATTTATCGTAAAAGTCGTTAGCTGATGATTAGTTTAAAATCAAAAGCTTGACATTCGAGTATATAAAAGAGGAAGGTCGTTAAAGGATGAAATCGACTTGCTCTCTCGTAATTGAGTTTCTTATTTTTCCAATAGTTAATTCGAATATTAGGAATCGATTGCCGTTTGAATTAGGTCATTAAACATCATTCCGACTGGGTGATATTTACCTAAAACTTGGGATTATATATCCTTTTTAAGGTCTTGATATGTCCGCTTCATATGGAACTACATCGAATGATATATACTAATATGAGAAAGTATTCTGCGTTCCATTTTTTTTTCTTGAGATGATACTGTTTACTCGTATATATATATATAGTATGAGGACACCGACGATAAAGCTTCTTTTCTATAGTACGACTTTTTAGCCTTCTATTATGGGAAATAACCAAAATCTTCATGTGATAGCAGCTGTATGCACTTCGTTTCAATAGACAGTTTTCTTGTTGACATCTGTTTGTTCAACAATAGACATCATTTCGCCTTTCTACTATTCACTTTTGTTCGAGTTGTATGGGTGATCGAGATTATTTGACAAATTGATAGAACAAGTGTCATTGATCATTTTTTTTCATAATTTATTCCTTGGTAATGAAACTACTCCGGCCAAATCATGATCAATTTTCACCGGTTCACCACCATTTTGATATTCATTTTTTAAAGCTGTATGTACCTGTTTACTTTTTATCTTTTGTCATATATATCTAAAATAATTTTTGGTTCCAATCATATATGGTTTTGTACAAAATTTCAAGACCATCTTTTGCATAAACAAGACGATTCGATCAGATCTGAAATTCAGGAGAAATTTTAAAAAAATACTAACAGCATAATTACTTCCGAACCACCCATTACTATCTGTTCATTGCGAATTCTGCTCAGAAAGTATTCCAAGGATAACATGACAAAGTAGATTGATTGTGTCTTTAAAAATGATTCGACCAACATACTTAAGTCGTTTTCTTTGTACCAAAAACAAGTTAAAGAATTTGAGTTTCCTTAATTTCGTAATTTACTTAAAATATATAATACGACGTAGGCTGCAAGGCTATAGCCCATTCATTTTATGAGTAAAACGATCTCGATCTTCAGATAATGATGAGTATCTTGATATAATTATGATATCGATATTTTTCATTTTTTTATTTTCAGGAAAGAATAAAAAAATCATTGATCAGATGGTCAAAATATTATCCCAACCATCTTTAATTGAAAGTGTTACGCTTAATCATCAATTATTTCATGCTGATGTTGGTATTGTATCCTATGCAATAACTTTATTATATAATTTAATATTTGAAAAGAAAATTTTTTTTCGATTAAAAGAAAATGAAAATGTTTTAGCTGCTTGTTTAAAATTACAAGAAGCAAAAGATAGAACAATAAAATTTGGATCATATACATTATCTGCTGTTTTAAATCAAAAAGATATTGATGAAATCAATAATCCATCAAAAACTGCTCAATCTTATTTGTATTATATTGAAAATATGATCGATGAACCATCACGTACATATCATGGAGTAAAATTAAACGGTGTATTGACTAATCTTGAAAGTATGTTCATTCCAAAATTTTAATTCAAACATACATATACTTGAGTTTTGGGAAAAATCTATTTTTTTGAGAAAGGGCATTTAAAATTAAAATTAGATTTAATGACTTTCTATATATGTAAGAAATGAGAGTTCATTCATTTATTCTATATATTTAGGGAAAAGAAAATAGTACAAACATGAGAGATGAATAACTGACGAATCATTATTCGGCACACTATCGCTTAAAATGAAGCTTTAGTTTTTGAAAATTTCTAGATAGAATGAAGGACTTCACATTGTGAGAGTAAAACAATTCTGATGAAATTAATTTATCATGCATTATATCTTTTTTATTTTATTAAACCAGACAATAAGTTTTGCCTTAGAATACGAGAAGTAACAAAACACTTGTTTATAAGAAAGCGGATGTTAGTAAGGTTTCAAATTTATAATAGTTTCTGATGTTTGGATCCTGTTGAAAAATTCTGAAACATGATTAGATAATAGAAGCAGGAATAGGATACTGGTGTTCGGCTGTCAGCTATGTCCGGTTCTAGTCGAAAACGAAATAAGCTGGACAACATAAATGGGCATGGTGTTCCTATCTCCAAGGTTTTATCATTTTTTGGAGTTTTCCGCCATGTACCTCGACTACAGCCTCAATATTTGATAGATTAATTCAGATAGAAACTGGCAAGAATGTATTTCTAGAAGAAAAAAACAAAAGAACAAAATCATCTTTTTACTGATTTTTACTTTAGCGATTGTTCAAAATGATCAAGTTAAAGAGGAGATTGCTAATGATGACCAAAGTATACCCTTGATTGCAAGATGTGCATATGACAAAGATTTCGATGATGATATTCGAGATCCAGCTCTAAGAATTATTTTATCAGTTTCATTTGTCGGTGATGTTGCTATTGAAAAAATAAAAAATATTGAACCACTTATGGATTGTCTTCATGATGAATCTATTTCGAATAATATGAGACAAAGATGGACAGCTAATGCTATTCAATGGAAAATTGATGGAGAAAAGAATTTTGTCGCAAGTCAAGAAAAAAACAAAGAAAAAGGACAAGATATTATTGAAACGGTCATATCGACTGTTAAATTTGATGAATCAAAAGCTTCTTATCAATATATTAGAGGTGATTATCGTTTTAATTTACATGATTATCAAATAGTAGATACATATGTCATGATCAGCTATTGTCATGAAGATGAAGAAATATGTCATCAAATTTATAATAGTTTAAGAAAATTAACACCGTATCAACTATGGGTGAATAAACATTATCTACACAGTGCCAATCCGGATGTCGTAGCTACAGCAATGGAAAAAGCAGATATTGTTATTATGTGTTTTTCAAATAAGTATCGGGAATCATCAGTATGTCGATTGGAAGGTGAATATGCTGACAAACGCAACCGACCTATTATTCCAGTGAGAGTAGAAGCTGAATATAAACCTACAGGGTGGTTAAATGATGTTGTTGGTCAGAGAAAACATATTGATTTTATCGACTTAAACTTTGATTTTGCCTGCCAGGTGTTGATAAAAGAAATCGATTACATCAAATCAAAGATCAGTAAAAAATGACAACGAACTTGGTCGGCATTTTGAATATACATGTTTTCCCATGAATTGACGACAAAAATCCTTTGCTTTTTTTGTATGGTTTCAACGCTTGAATTTGTAAGATCTTTCGATTCATTTTATTCAAAAAACCAGTAGATATAAGACGAATTTTAAATATGGTATATTATACTCAAATTTAAGTGTGTTTTTTCTGAAGTTATCAATTCATCATAGAAATGTCCGTCGCGGTCAAAAATCTGATGCGTTGCAATGTACTATTAAAAGAGTTGCCGTTGCTGAAATGGTATTCAGAAAAATGTTTCGAATTTCTCTAGTGTAACTGTAGTAAACTGAACTTTTTGTTACCCATCAATGAGATTCGTTGAGTCTCAAAGTGTTCCACTTGTGAAACGACAGCGCCGCAATTGATATCCCTTCTCTATGGACGAAATTTTAAAAAGCCTTGTTATGAAAACGGCGTTTATAATTAAATTTTGAGAACCAACGGATAACAGTATGATGAAAGATGTTTATTGATCGGAACATTTACGTTAGGCTTTAGAAGTCATTGACAATTCAAATCAAACTGTCGTATCTTGTGCTGGTCGAATAATATATCTCACCTTTTTGAATAAGTCTTCTGTCCAGTGGGCAACGTTCAAATAGAAGATCTTATTCTTCATATCAACGCTGAACATAAATCTGACATGAGATTCTTATCTTGAGTTTAGTTTTAACTAAAACTATATTTTGATAATAGAGAGATCGACTTGATAAAAATCTTTCAATGTAAAATGGTTCTAAATATTGATATCTCAGGAGAATAAAATCAGACAGAACTAACTTTGAAACTATTGAATAGGTCCTTAGAAAGTTCTATGCATGCTTTCTTTTTTATCCCTACACTGTGTATTTATAAGAACCTGACCATCCTCACCTATGCTAGTTGCACAATACTAAATTTGTTACGAAAATATAAAGAAACAAATCTTATATTGATATAATTGTGAAGTCTTGTGTGATAAATCACTACTTCGAAAATGACTTGAAAATTGAATGTCTACTACTGAGATCTTTTTCACTGATTAAAAAAGCAGAAATCAACATTCACTCATATATTATTGAGAAACTGATGATAAATAGATATCTCAAGATGGAAGAGAATATTAAGACGCGAAGTTTTGTGTTCCTCCTAGGAAGGTCAAACCATTCTTCTTTTCTGGTGATTATTCAGAATTAAGACACAAGAATATTGCTGCTGTTCTTCGGTTTTTCTATAAAAAAAAACAGCAATCAAAATATGTAGCAAAATTAGTTACAAATTGAGAGTAGCTACATCTGCAATGAACAATAGTTTAAGATCTTCGTATATTTCGCAGAATTCTCTGAACATGTTCATGTTAGTTTAATTTCGGTATGGCTCAAATGTCGGACAGGTTGAACCATGCCTATCTTAGGTGTGGAAATACCTGCGAGTTTGGTGATTTTGAAATGGTTCATACAATCTGTCGACATAATCGAAAAAAAAATAACACAATTTTTTCTGAATTTCCCTATCACATCTATTGTTTTCTGCTTTTATTTACTCTATTCTCTATGGTGCATAGATCATTTAAAAATGTGAGGGATTTATTCTTTCTTGGCGTCTACCTGATGCATATTATTTCTCTGTAGCATAACAACTGTGTGTCTTTCATTTTATTTTCCATTACTATAAACAACTTTGGTCAGATTAATCTGAAATGATATGACATCGACAAACAGAGATTCTTATTAAATGTTGCAATAAATTTTAATTGTAGATAAAGATATTAATTGTTTTTTTATTTTACTTATTGGTCTTTCGAGCCGTCAGAGAACAATCAAGTAGGTTGTAATGATACAATTAATTGTTCAGAACAATTTTTTTTTTACAGGCGTATAATGGCACAAAAGAACTCAAAGTTCATCACAACGTCTTCGAAAAAAACAAATACAGTTTCAAAATCAACTACTACTAAGTCTTCACCGAAACCTACTAACATCCAAACATCATCTGCTACGAAGAATATTTTATTAGAACAACTACAGTTTCAAATTAGTGAGAATTTTATTATATTTTGGTTAGAATCGAATTTAAACAACTTAAATGAAAAAATAATTTCTCAAATTCGATCTATTGTGAATACGATCAAATTCTTTACCGATATCGACCAATGTGTCAAGTCTCTCGTTGAAATTAAAGACGTAAAAGTTTTTTTAATTGTTTCAAATTCTCTTGCTCAACAAATCACTCCTCTCGTTCAAGCATTTACCCAAGTCGATTCAATCTATATATTTAGCAATCTTAAATCGATAAATGAACAATGGACTAAAGCATACATAAAAATTAAAGGAACTTTTTATCAGACCGAAACACTTTGCAATGTACTTAAAGAAACAGTTCATCAATTAAATAATGATTTAATATCAATTAGTATTGTTCCCGAGTCATCAATAGATAATCTGAATAGTCTCGATCCATCATTCATGTATTGTCAGTTATTTAAAGAAATTTTTTTAACAATGCAATTTAATTATGAAATAGAAATACAACAATTCGTAGATTATTGCCGTCCACGTTTTCAACAGAATGAGAAAGAAACAAAAAGAATTAATGAATTTGAACAAAAATATTGTCAAAAGTCACCAGTTTGGTGGTACACTCTGGAATGTTTCCTATACAATATGCTCAACAACGCCTTGAGAACTGTTGACATTGAACTTCTTATTAAAATAGGCTTTTTCGTTCGGGATCTTCATCAACAAATCAAACAACTTCATTCCGAATTAGATGGTAATAAAATTCCACATACTGTTTTTCGAGGACAAGGCATTTCCAATGACGATTTTGCAAAGCTGAAGAAAACCAAAGCTGGTCTTTTATCTTTCAACAGTTTTCTCTCGACGAGCACCAACAGAATAGTTGCCATGGATTTTGCTGCTTTTAATAAAAATAAATCTGATACAACATGCATTCTGTTTCAAATAAAAATCAACTCTTCCATTTCATCGATCCCTTTCGCTCCAATAAGCCATTTAAGTGCTATTGAATCAGAATATGAAATACTTTTCTCAATGTCTACTGTATTTCGAATTGGTGAGATAAAGAAAATAGAAAATTGGTTATGGGAAGTCAATTTAACCTTAACAGATGAAAATGATCCACTACTTACACGTCTTACCGATCATATGCGAGCTTCCCTTGGACATGGAAATGGATGGCGTCGACTCGGTCAATTAATAATCAAGATGGGAGAATTCAAAAAAGCAGAAGAAATCTATAATACACTACTCAAGACAATATCTTGTGATGATAAGGCAGAATGTGCTTTCCTTCACAATCAACTTGGATACGTTTGCAAACAAAAGGGTAATTTAAATGAAGCATTTTCTCACTACAAAACCTCTCTTGAGATTAGCCAAAGTTATATGTCATCTAATGATCCTGGACTCTCTAGTACATACTCGAATATTGGTGGAATTCTTAAAAAACTAGGTGAACTTGATGGAGCATTGAAATATTATGAACATGCTCTCAAGATTGATCTTGCAATGACAGGACCCAATTCACTGGAGATTGCTATTGATTACAATAATATTGGGTCGGTACTCGATGATCAAGGCAAGTATCCGGAAGCACTCAAGAATTATAAAGAAGCACTAGAGATCAAACGTGATTATCTTCCACCTCATCATTCATCTCTTGCTAATACTTATAGTAATATTGGCTTAGTATATCGAAAAATGGGCAACAGTTCTACTGCGCTTTTATATTACCAACAGACACTTGAAATCCAAAAAAAATCTCTTCTATCCAATCATCCGTCATTAATCGTGACTCATGGCAACATCGCCGGAGCATTGGAAGGCCTTAAACTATACAATGAGGCAATTGAGCATGCTAAGATAGCCCTCAATATTGCTAGACATGCATTTGGCTCTGATCATGCTGAATGTCAAAAACGAAAGACTTATCTGGAAGAACTTGAAAGAAAATGCTAATGCTTGTTGCTTTGTGGAGTGTAATGTCTGGAATTCGTAGTATACATACTTTCTAAACCTTGTATGAGAATAATTTTTCTTCAAAATAAAACAAATGAAAAGATGGTTAATCGACATACATAATTCTTTATATGTTAAATAATGTACAAGTTCAAAAAGAAAATATTTCGGGTGTTAAAGATTTTTAATACGAATTAAATCGATAAAAACCGGTTAAAACTTGAGCATTGTTATCTAGACCTCATTTTTGGCTGACTACATACAGTAATTAGCAAAAATCTTCCACCACCTAGAACTTTCCGCAAAACTACCATATATAAGTAGGACTGTGGGCTCCTTATTAGCATCACTCTGTGTCCCTTCTACCCTGTTTTCATCTGTTAGATTGGCACATGATTTAATAAGTATACCTAGAACACGAAACTGAGAGTAAATCTTTGGTTCAAACGATAGACGCAATATGAGGACTTCAGGCTGTTCACGTGCAATGACCTCAAAAGAAGGTCAACCAATCGTTTCACTCGCTGAACAATAGACGGTCGCTACTAGCCATAGCATTCGAGGTCAACTGAAGTGAAAACGAGTCGTGCTTAATGAGAGCATAGTGTGGCGATTCTTGAACGAAGCAGGCACGAAATACGATTGATTCGCTTCGAAACCATTGCTCATAGAACTGTTAAACATTCTCTCAAATTCTATGTTTCTGATTACTTCTAAAGCCGGCATTTCGGTTTGATCACGACTTGGCGTTGTGACAACGACAAGAACACAACAATCCAAAACATATGCTGAAATTCACCGTAAACTGCAAAGAAAACAACGGAATTCAAAAAAATTTGTTTAGTTGCCAACGTCGTCCGATCTTGCACTCACCGAAAAGATAATGAAATTCCTCAAAGTGAAGTTAAAAAAAGAAAAAGCACACAAATTATTGATCGTTGTTTTTACCAATAAACCGTTCAAAGATAGATACTACTACCAATAATGATCATCATCATTGTGCATCATATGATTCATTGAGTTTCAAAACTATCTTGAGGTGTGGATGTGGGCGAAAAGAAGATCCACACGCATAAACTGAAATAGCTTATATGTGCCATTACGAACTTAATGGATAGTTGTATAGGAACAGAGCGGAGTTCTATTCTTAGCTATACTCATTTATACGTATATCAGAAACACGAATGTTATTGGTTGTTACCATATTAAGTAATAATCAACATATTCTGCTTGAATCCTTGACAGATTTTTCCTCGAATACTATACCACACGACGTAATAAATGTCACATAAATTTCAACAGCAATAACAGGTTTAAACTAATATACTAATCTTCTAGGGCAGCGATCATGATCAAATAACTACTATAAAACACTTCAATGGATTCAAAGAGCCTACACATCTGATCATTGAATCTAGAGAGTTCCAAAAATTGGCTCCAATGGGTGTGCGTGTGGATATCAGAGAAAAGAAGCCCCAGCCAAACACTCGCGCCCACGACCTCCGCTCACCCCCACACTATGGATGAGTCTTTACCAAGGGGGGAAAAGCGTATTTCTGTATTTCCGTATTTCCAGGTATTTCCAGGTATTTCTACGTATTTCTACGTATTTCTAGGTATTTCTGAAGTACAGAAATACGCTTTTCCCCCCTTGGGTTTGAGACATTTTTAGTTGATTAATTAATTCGATTGAAATTCTTTGCTGATATTCAACCGGATAATTTATACATAATGTTTCGAAGAAAAAATGTCAGTTGACTATTTATATTGTTTTATCCATAAATAAATCGTCTGTTATTGAAGAAGTCAAAAGTTCTACGCCTTCGTTCGATTGTTACACAATGTTTTCGTTATCACTACTTTTATCGAAGTTATTATGAAATAAGAAATTTTACATTTTTTCTTTTATTGTGCCTTAAGCGATTTTCATTTAAATAAATTAGATATTTATACAAACCTCGTACAAACACAAGTTGAATATGTAGCTACTCTTTCTGTTTGTAATTATTTTGGTGAACTAGCTTGCCCATCATTGATATATGATTTAGTTTGTATTGTTCAATCGTATCGAGCACAACCACATCGTACACATCATCATTCACTTGAGTAAGAACTAGTAGTAAGATACTTGAATCTATGTATATAAAGATATATAATTTTTTAAGTATATACATGTTGAAGCTAAACTCATATCCTATTCGAAGTTAATACAGTATGTAGTTCAGAAATATTCCATATATAATTAATGGTATTTTGTTTTTGTATTATTTTTAGTCGTTCAGAGCAATTAAGAAACCATTTCAATGAATGAACTATACTGATATATTACAAATCAAGAAACGAGTAAATTTAAAGAATTTGAAGATGATGTGGGTGTGGGTTGAAATCTATGCAATCACATACACACACCCACGCCCACTCATAATGCATTATCAAGGACATTTCCCATACCTAAAATTAAATTCGCAAAAAATTGCGTCAAGATGAAGGTGCGGATGTAAATAACAGTATAGGAAATGCATTACGTTGGCTATTGAGAATCATAGAACTGGAAAGGAATTGAAGATCAATTCACAACTTTCCAGAGAAATATCATCGTTCTGTTGATAATTTTCCACCATTTTAGGAATTTCTATTTCTCAGTTCTTGAACGATGTTGCTTTATGTTAGATAATTCAAAAAGAAAAACATAATAAATCAAATAGAATACACATTTGCGTCCTTAGTTAAGTGTTAGAATTAGAAATAAACAGCAATATTTTGAGAAATCGTCAGCATTAATAGAAATATAAGAAAAGTTGGATTGATGGTATATAATTGTGTGGCACTAGTGGTGTGTGATTGTGTGGCACTAGTGGTGTGTGATTGTGTGGCACTAGTGGTGTGTGATTGTGTGGCACTAGTGGTGAATAATTCTGTAGTATCAATGGCCTTTTTACAGGCCACTTGTACGACTGCATTGGCGATGCCGCACATATTCTCACCTCGTTTCATACGAATATAGCCTTTCTCACCCCATTTCTCACCTAAAATTACGAAGAAGAATCAAGATAGATTCTTCATAAGTCAATGCTCACCCCAGCTATTTTTGCATAGCCAGTAAGGTTTACCACCTTCGATACCATAACCAACAACTTGCATCTAAAAAGGAGTGTGCTTAACAAATATATGAAGCTAATGACTCTGTTGCTCTTTACCGCATGATTTCCATCTGTTTTTGGACATGTCTGTTCATCATAAATACCTGAAGAAAAAAATGACAAATATCAATGAATGTATCATGTACATTGACATACCCTCCTTATAATCTCCGAAGCCCTCGCCAAAGGCGTTCATTACCACCCATAGAGTAGAGTCTTGAATCCAAGTCAACATCGTATTTTCGTCTTTTTCTTTGAGTTTCTTGATTTCATCAAACTATAATTTTTATAAATTTAAAACCTTATAACAGTCAAAAATCAATCACACTGAAAATAAAAACATTCAAAATAAAGAATTTTATTTATTTTAAATTAAATCTAAAGACAGAATTTTTTTCTCATTTGCAATATATAGACACCAAAATGCAAATATACACCTACCGTAGTAAAAGGGTTGCATGCGTTCGGTTCGCATTTATCGGCAATTTCCGGATAATCAGGTTTTCGGCAAATACCACCTAACTTCTGAATACATTCAAAAATATCAGGTTCTGTTTGTAGACAACAGTCATATATTCTTCGAATGCTACCTTCTGTGAGATTGTTGGTATAAATGGCATAAAGACTTTCTACTACTTCTATGAGATAATTGTCAAATAATAAAATTAATTTACTACTATTCAGTGATACTCACCGGTAGCTACAAGGGGTCCCTGTATCACTCCCATTTCGCCTTGGTCAATCACAGGTGTAATCACACCTTTTTCGCGCCAATCGAGTGATTCAGGCAAGTTTTTTACTACGATGGAACTTTTGAGTAATATTGGTCGAGAGTCAAAGTGAATTTTTGGTCCAGATACTACCTCCTACAATATATCTAATCTTTTATTGATTATATATCAAACTAAAAATGACTTCAATGCGTCGATCAGTTAAATGATTGATTCCCACTGTGAATGTTGCACCAGGATGAGTTTGTTGATAAGAACGTATTCGATTAACATTTTCAAAAAATATTTGTTTACGTTCGTTTTCCTCAGCAGTTGATGCATAGTGTTTGTTGTAGTCTCGTTTGAATTTATCCCATTCCGATAACAAATTACTCGAAGCCACGCCATATAGAAGAAAAAGAAGAACGTACTGGAAGATAAAAATAAAGTCAAATATTGATGCATATTAGAATATAAATAGGTGACAGTTACTCACCTTCATTTTTGAAGTTTGAATTCAATATATATGTTTCAAGATATAGTAGAATTCGAAATGTGAAAAAAGTGCATGCAATCAATGATAATGTTAAATGTTTAATGCTGACACAGCATGAGCATCTCTGTGAGTTTATATGTAATCAGCGATTTTTTTCCTTATCTTTGTCACAAAAAGATGAAGAGTGGCAAAGTATACCTGTCTTACTATCTTCCCTCTCTTCACCGAAGAAAACTGCATGACAGGTACCTTTGTTTTACAAGCGATTGCGTTGAAATAAACTTCTAATAAAATCCATTGCTTCCGCTAACGAACTGAAATACGCATTAATTTCTATACGTTTTATTGATAAGTGGTGTAAAATAAGTTGTGGTTCTTTCATTTGGGACTATTTTCTCACATGTTTAGAGAGGTAACGGTGTGGGTGTGTGGGTGTGTGGGCGTGGGTGTGGGTGGGTTTGGATGTGGATGTGGATGTTGGTATGAGTGTAGATGTTCACTGCTGAGACACATGGATCTACCTCACACCGTCACATCTCAAAACCGACACCCACACCCACACCCACACCCACACTCACACCCACACTCACACCCACACTCACACCCACACCCCACACCCACCCACACCCACACCCACACACCCACACCCACACC